GCTGGCAGGCTATTAGTGATTAGAAGACCTAGCTAGAAGATTGTTCTTAAGCTGGCAACCAACATTATTCTAGAGAATGTCGTAGCGCGCAGGGGTAGGTATTTCAAATATCACGTCTAAGGGTTAAGGCATTTTGCAACACTTACGTAGCCAGAACTAAGTTAGCTTCACCAGTTTTAACAACTAATACCCTACCAGCTGTAATCTCAAACGCCATTGCAAGAGCCCCTGGGTGTAATTGTACCAACAGAAAATTGTAAGTAGCTATTGTATTTATCGGTAATTTCTAGACCCTGATGATGAATCCCGATCATGGCATCTCAATGAAGAGGAGATCATTCCAAAACATATACCCAAATCCACCTATTATAATTATTCTACGAGTATAAGGTAATTTAAGTGAGCCTACATTTTACCAATGGTATTTTTGATCTTCTTGCTGAAATGAGTGGTCGAGGGGATTGCTGCCAGGTATAGCACGATGTATCTTGGCGAGAACATGTATATAAATTAGGATTTCCCCTTCACTCATGAATTAACTTAGTTATTCAATTAAGTCATTCACACTCCTCATATACCTTTATCTCCAGCACTCCTGTAACACCCTCTACCTTCTACTATACTCATAATTCTGAAAAAGGGGTGAAAAGGGGTAAAAGTGGACCAGCACAAGATCTGTGAAGATGACAAGATATCGTAGACCCTACGTCCGTGAACTGCATATTAAACCTGATAATACATGATTGAATGGATAGTGGGGTCGACTATCGAGATATGGGACGATGTCTAATACTTGAATGCTGGCAATTCGTGGCCAGGCTGGGCTAATGTATTATGCGGAGCAGAAGGTCGAGCCATCAACCTTACATGGTCCCTTGTTGCTTCATCGGCTCTGGAGTAGATTAAGTTGTACCCCGAGCAGTCCAGGAACGGTAAATATCTCCACACGGGAATTCGATCGAACTATGATGGCTAAAGATCATTGGCGACAAAACGTCAACTTCCGCACGGCTAGGGTAGCAATCGCGGGGTAAATGTAACATAAAGCTCATCTAATGCAATCAACCTTAACTATCATAGAATTGGGACCTATAGATATCTACGAATGTTTATCTCGGCATAGCGGCCACAGCCCGTATACGACATCAAGTAGATGATAATCTGTTAGTAAGCTCGTCTAACGAGAAAAACGATGGCTCTTAGGATCTGCCGAATGTCTGTAGTAAGTATCAAGTAGTTTATCGTCACAGGGGAAGGACATACAAAACAAGCTCCGCCCCCCATCAAAGCGTATGAAATATCCGGTGACGTTTTTCGTTTCTTCTTGGATATAATTTTCTCTCTATAGCTCTTCCGCAAGTTTGCTCATTTGTTGTATATCGATATGGCTCGTAAACTTGTCGGCGAGCCTCAAAGCCGCGGAACGCATCTGGTGCGTAGCCATGCGCATGAAGAAGATATCCCCGGGACTGTCAATGTCCAGACCGTGGGTTAGTAAAACCCGATGTTATATCCAACCATTGATTATTGACAGTTTGGGAAACAGAAGGAGATGATTCTTATAACGGCCAGGCGCTTTTCCCTGTGCCTGCCGAAGATCCTAACGACCCGTTACAGGTATGTCCCAGGCCCGCGAAGTTGATATCGAGGTTGGAAATCTATAATTATCGATTTTAACAATTATACAGTGGTCGAAGTCTAAGAAGATAATGATACTGGTAGTTATTTGCTTTTACTCTTTCCTCGGCAATGCAGCGCTATTAGGTCCCGGCCCCTATTTGACGTTATGGTCGGAGCTATTCGATATAACCCCTGCGGAAGCTTCGACGCTTATATCATATCCCAATCTTGCATATGGCTTTAGTTCCTTCATCCTCGTGCCGCTATACCTGAAGTTCGGAAGGCGACCCGTGATGCTTGGATCATTGTTAGCTGTAGGTTTAATTTATAAACTCGGACGGAGTGGACTTCCCAGCTAATCTCTCCTAACCAAGTTCATTGCCGGGCTTGCTGGATGTTCTCAGGCTAATGACTTTGGTGGACTAATGGTACGTATGAAGATCCGGGGTTCTAAGACTTGAAGATTCCTATTCTTCGTCTAGGTACTGTTTAATTATTATTACCGGCTAACGATTTGCAGTAAGTCGGCTTATCCTATCACCGTATATGATACCCGACGGCGAATCAGCACCACTGTTAACAGATCAAACTTCTAATAGGGCGGGTCGAATTATACACTGTTTCGGTGCTGGCATATGCGAAGCTTTGCCTGTTCAGCTCGTATCAGATATATTCTTCCTTCATGAGCGAGGGAAACATATCGGCTACTATACATGTATGGAAGTTACCACTACTTAAACCTATAGAGCTTCTACTTACGTTATTTGAAACAGTCGGCATGTGCTTCGCCTCCATGGCAACGATACCAGCTGCGTATATGCTACCAACCAAGTACTCTTGGAGGCTCTTCTTTTATGTCATTGTCGCCTTCGCCAGTGCGCTATTTATCCTAGCATTCTTTTTCGTCGAAGAAACATCCTACGATCGGGAGGCGCATATGGTCCACGACACCTCTACAGAGCGTTCGGATGATGCCGCATCTAATGCCTTCGAAAAGCCTAACGACTCAGTCGTCGAGCAGGCGGCGAGTATGCCGAAACGAAAAACGTTCTTATCAACACTTGGCCCATGGGGTCGCGTCGATCCAGACGTCCATCTTCATATGTTTATGTGGCGACCTTTCACCTACTTCCTAGTCCCCCAAGTCCTATGGGTTATCACCTCTTTCGGAACTATCATAGGGTTAGGTGCATTGGCCTTCAACTACATCTTCCCAATTAAGATAACCGCACCTCCATACAACTGGTCAGAGGTATGTGTCAGGCTCTGTTTTATCCCCATGAACAAGTCTAGTTAATGATTATCTATAGGCTAGCTCCGGCGTGCAGTCGCTTGGATCTCTCATCGGTTTCATTCTTGCGCTCCTCTTTACTTCTTCGTCGGATCGACTAGCGGGTTACTTGACCAGACGCAATAATGGTATTCGCGAAGCCGAGATGAGATTAGGAGTTATGCTACCCGCTATGATAATAGGCCCAGCAGGCTTAGTTGTTTACGGGCTCACTGCAGAACTTAACTTACACTGGATAGGCTATTTTATCGGATCTGGTCTGGCGTCTTTCGGCGGCTATTTCTATTACTGCTTTACATTAGCATATGCTGTTGATTCTTATAATAGCGATACGTCCGAAATGCTTATTGCGATAAATGTGGGAAAGCAGGCTGTCAGCTTCGGCTTAGGTTATGGCGTTCTCGATTGTATGAAATCTCAAGAATCTCTCCGCCTCAGAAATCCCATTATCCTGATTTCAGGTCACATAAGAAATAAATTGCTAACGTTCTTTCAGGGGTAACCGAAAGCGGCTACGTAGCAATAATTGCAGGGGCATTTGGTGGAGTATTTTTAGCCAACAACTTGATGCTCATCGTGTTCCTATTGCGTGGCAAACAGATTCGGCGATTCATGTCAAAGATTAGAACTAAATATGGTTTCTAAAAGCTATACAGATACCTATATAATAGGCCTTGGAAAATTGAATAGCCAGATTCGATAACGATTTTCTTCCAAATGATTAGCTCCAAATGTTCACAAAGTGGTTACTCCCAGATCCCTAGCACAGTACTAACACTGTATTAGCTATATGCTAAACAGAAAGTCCGATAGTGGCCCGTCCACCAAATTTAGGTGACTTGCCACTATATTATAGCGGTACTAGCCGCTATAGCTTAAACAAACAAGACCGTGCAACCCTTTTTAACCACACATAGCCTTGCCGGGATTAGATGTGCAAGACTTTTGGCCCGGACCTTCATAGTGTTGGCCCCTTTCAAACGTCACATACATAGAAGCATTTTCAAAGAATATAATGAAATCTACACTGGTAATTTCCTCCCACATATCCAACCATATTTGCTAAAAGCCCAATACCAACTTAACTCTCAACCGAAACTCCACTGTATGAATGCATTAAGGTAAAGTTACATAAAGGCTAGATTCACAGGTGCCGGTGTAAAAGATGGCTTTATATTCTTTCAAATATTTCTCTGTTAGTGTAGTCTATCCTAGTTGTTGCTCAGTATTTATAATCGAAGTATATTTATTCCTCATTACAACTTTCTAGCACTGATTACCTCACCCCCGGTTGAACTAATGCTTACCACCTGTAAGCTAAGGAATGATCCCAAGGGGTGGTATCAAACTATCTCCCCATATTGAATAGCTGAAATATCGTGGTCAATAAGTAATAATGACTATAAAAGGGCGCATTCCTCTCCCCGATCATCCACCATGTAGAAACAAGTCTATGAGTTCTACAAGCTCCCAGCCAACGAGAAAAGAACAGGTCAAGCAACTCCCACAGAAGCGCAAAAGGGGCAGATCAAAGGCTATTACGAGTTGTGAGAGATGTCGGCAAGCACATATCAAGTGTGTCTCACAAGGTCCAGGGGAGCCCTGTGTTAACTGCGCAAAACGATCGACGCGAGCTTGTAGCTTCATGCAGCGTCTTAGCGAAACCGATCTTAATCCGCCAATCCATCAAAAGGAACTTGCCTTGCAACTATCCCTAGATCACAAATTACAAGTACTTGCAACTTCTGCCCTCGCTTACATGGAAAGACAACTATTGCACCTGAGTGTTGATGCTACAACATCTTTGCCATCGGCCTAGGCCTTAGAAGCAGACTAGGTACCCGTTTTTCCTGATAATGCTTCAGTACATCAATATTCTAGAGGTAAAATATGAATGTACTAGATAATTAGGACAACGAAAGCGAACAAGAGTCTAAATACCTATATTGTGATAGAAAATGTTGCAAGTTGTGATTTGTTAGTAAAGTTCAAGTTGTATTATGCCTGCCGGACACGTGCCCCACTATCGGAATAGGGGCTATGGATGACCAAATAGGAGTCTAGAAGAGAAATGGTATATAAATATAAGGTAAATACATATAATAAATGTGAAAAACAGAACAAGTATCTGAAGCTCGTCGCTAAATGGGCACAGCACCAGTCTATAATAGTCTATAACAATATCCCTCGGAGTTTACGCTATTAGAACTTTCTAATAATACAATCTTAAAATATTTTTCTATGTTTGCCTACTTTTAATCCGGCAAGAGATATGATTCCTTGGGGCTTGCATACCTAACCCAAAACGCCAACTATCAAATTCCAAGTCATCAGTAAAAAACTCGATATCAACCTCATTTACCAATACTGCACAAGTGTAAATTACTGTGAATTTGGCAAGATGACGACCGGGGCACACCGAGTACCCTCCTATAAGTGTATCACCTTTTAGTCGTTGAATAACAATTAAGAGTTAGTTTGGGTTATTAAACTTACCTCCATAAGGGAACCACGATGATTCCAGCCCTTCAACTGAGAAGAATGGCTTTCCGTTGTTTACTGTGTCACCTAATCGCGGCCGCTCTCCTAATGATGGGTTTATAGGACCACTCCCTGGATCTGATGGGTCAATCAAGAATCGATCGGCCCAGAAGCAATCCACAGGATGCAGGCCTCCTTTCGTATTCCAAAACTCGGGATCCATATGAGAGATGCAAGAGTTTAACAATCCGATCTTGTCCTTAGGAAGCTTCCATCTCCCTAATGAGGCGTCCTGATTTTGAGGACTAAACATAACATATATCTTGACGTAAAGACGAAGTACTTCGGCATATACAGAGGAGAGAAGAGGGGCTTTCGAAAGCTCCTTTGGGTTAATAGATCTAATCGATTCATGACCAAACATGTCTTCCAGCTCATCACGCACACGCTTGAGAAGCTGGGGATCCTTGAAAATGTGCCATACCACCATCATGGCTGTTGGGTTGGTATTCGTTACAAGCCTAGGCGTTGATCAGCTGTAGCCGTTTTTAGGAATATGAAATGCGTGATATATGAGAGGGGATTTTTTTACCCAAATGCCAAGCCAAGGTCAGAAGCTGCAATGTCGTTATCAGTTTGCCCGGCTGCATGTAATATTGCATGTCGATTCCTGATCAATTTGGATCCCCAAAACAAGTCGCCATCGCCATCGTCGGTAACACTACTCTCGTCGAAATTCTTTTGAGCGTACGAATGCCACTTTTTGATTTTATTGTTAAGTCCACTTCTGATCTTGTACGGCTTAGGCATAGCAAAGGATGGGATTCCTCGGGCTAGCCATGGCACATTATTATCAAACTCGATCAGATCATCAATGAATGTAGGGCTAAGACGCAGCAAAGACGGGCCAAATAGAGACTCAATAAGCGAAACACCCATGATTTTGAAGAAGAATTCTTGAAAGTCGGTGATCGAATTCCATTCGGTAGCAGAACAAGGCAACCGGAGAAGATCTAGGTAAGTGGCGAATGCCGCCGTATAGCGTTGAAGAGTGGGGTTTAATCCGGGCCCAGATAATGCACGAAGGAACTCTTTATGAGTTCTATAGTCAATGCGGCTGTTAACAGGCACGCTACTTCCCGAGTGAGGTTTAGCGTGAGGACCGGAGCGATCCGCGCGGTAGATAGCCAACCCCTTTTTTGACAACCCAAATAAATACTTCAGACAATATATCTGAATACACGTGGGACTAGATAATGCAGGTGTCTTCCAAATCTTTTTGATACTCTCCCGGTCTTGGAAGAGATAAACTTGATGGCCGAAGAAGGATATCCTAGTCGAGGTAAACTGTCCTTTATAAGACCTGTTCTTGTGTAAGTATGAATTAATTTCGATAGTCTTGTAAGCCCCTTACGTAGCTCTCCGAAAGAATTCCGCATTGTCACATAGAAATGAGATAAAATGGCCCACTGCTGGTGCTATAGATGGGTATAGGGGCGGTAGCTGTGCTGCTACATCACTCTGCTGCGTATAGTGATACTTGGAAATAGTAAAAAGATAGCCAAGAAGCAGTACTATATTGAAGGCTATGACGCCATAAAACAGCGTTTTCATGATGCCCCAGGAGTCGTACTGCCCCAATAAGGAAGGCAATAATGTGGCCATTGAAGTAATATTTTGACGCGCAGGCAACTATAGTTTTAACGCAGTATCATGTATCGAGACCAAGGGGCTGAGTCTATGAAGAATATTACGCGGAGAAGAAGAAATAAATATTTGATGAGAACTGATCAAGATTCATTTGATTAAGGCAGTCATGAAAATTTCGGTGTCTGAACCTCGATATTAATAGATCTAGGCAGTAGCCAGCCAAGTCGGGCATTGACCAAGACAATAGGGTGTGCTGCTACGTTGTCATGCCCGAGGAAGTAGGCAGGCTATGGTAACCAGCCACTGAGATAGTATATTTGCTACTGCTAAGGCAACCACTCAAGCTTTAAGCACTTTGTGAGTCTATCGGAAGGATCCTACTTTTTACGCCGTGCTATCTGTAGGCTACGAGATATCAAGAATCAACATTGATTTAGCACAGCAATATTGCACTTCGGATAGGCTTAGAATGAACCAACCGATTTCTTAAAATAGTATCGCACACACTCTGTGATTGAAAGGTGGTTAGACGGAGGTATACTTCACGAGGAAGGAACAACAGACCAAACGGCCAGTGATCCAAGGCCAATAAATGAACAGAAGTCTGAGGTTGTTGGAAAAAACAATATTAAATATAAACGAATCGGTGTGACCGCTGGCACTTAAATACCTCATATGAGGCAGGCTGACAAACAGAGAATGTGAAAGAATAGTAGTGGGTAATACAAAAGCCTCGCTCTACAACCCATCATGAACCAAGGGACGAAGTAGTTTATAACCCCAACATAAATTCCTTTTGAGCCACCTGATTAAAAAGGTATGGCCCCCAAAACATGTGGCCCCCCATTCGGGTGGTATAATATCCCACATATTTAGAGGTAATTACTACCTCCTATCGCAACGCCACTTTTGTATTAGGTACCTGTTAATCTCACTGGGGCGCGTCCAACTTGACGCCTCCAATATCTTCCGCCGAAATCTCCATGTCCGTATTGCAGCCAGAATATGAGACGTTCCACTTCCTGCTGTCCCGAGGGCGGATTTCAACATTTATGTCCCAATCCGGAACAGGAACCGCTGCTACTAGGGGCGACTTGTCCGTCGTGGGTCTCAACCATCTCCCGCCTACTGGACGAATGTCAAACCGCAGAGCCATTAGGGCAGAGAACATCAAGACCTCGGTGGACGCAAAGTGTCTTCCCGGACACAAAGTAGTACCCCCACCGAACCCGCGGAAAGCAATAGGGTTAGGTGCCTTAATTCCGGGCTGTCGTATGAACCTCTTATGGTAAAATTCATTTGCCGTTTCGCCCCATACCGATGGTACGGAATGTTGAACTCTGGATGGAATCATCACTGTACTCCCCTTCTTGATGAGGTACTTATTATCGAGCATGTGGTCCTCCATTGCGATGCGAGCGGAGACACCTATCGCATTATAGCGAAACATCTCCTTAAATGTAGAGAGTAGGATAGGGCAGGAACCTTTGACGTCCGCAAGATCGATAGTGCATATTCCATCTACTTCCTTCACATGCTCATATAGCTCAGTTCTGATGTCCTCCAGCACTACGGGGTCAGAGAAGATATGATATGTCATCCAGAAAGTGGCTGGCAGCGTGTTAGCAAGGATGGCAAACGAACCACCCACTTCGATTTTGGCTGTCTCTTTAATAGGAATTTGGAAATCTTCGTTGATCTTGACCCGGCATTGGACAAGTTCGGAGCCTTTCTTATACGCCCCGGATTCAAAGTAGCGCTCCCAGACCTTACCCATGTATTCACGAGCCTCGAAGCTCTGTTTGGCGAGGAACTGCGGCCAGAGCTTTAACACGAACATCATGATGCCCGGTTCGAATTTGCTATCTTGTTAAGTACCACTGTAACTATAACGTAGGTTTTGGGAGACTTACTACCAAGCATCCTCCATAGCTGGATCGCGAAAAGGATTATTGGGGCCATAAACGCCTTCCGTAGTCGCTATTAATAGCTCATGGCGCGTCCATTCGAACATTTTAGTTGTCGTGGGCCCCTTACCCGACAGTCTATCCAAAGACTCGGCTAGCACTTCAACCGATCTCCTATTCATAGCATCCAGTCCTGGTCCGGCACTCACGGCGGAATGGATAAATTTAGGAAAGGTCATAAGGTACCCTTCGTCGCGCACAAGATTGTGGGATATAATGTCATGCGTGCTTTTACTGACGCCCATTAAATCTCGAGCCAATCTTGACTCTAGAGCAGTAAAGGCCAATGTGCGAAACTGGCGCTGCACTGCGGGAATAAGAGAAGTAGAGTTTATGACGTATATCCTCGACCCGGGCATTCGTAATGTGTACAATGGGAGGTTGTACTTATCTCTGTTAGGGAATGCTATTAGTAGAGTCTATGCTGATGCATTCTGTGATACCCACCTCATCACACTGTAGAAGTTGGCTTTTTTAGCAGCCATTCCAAAGATCGGAGAGATGAATGGGATTGTATGCGCAATTGATTGCGGCTCTTTTGCATCTTGCGTAAAGTATAGGAGTGCCCGTAGAAACATGTAGACGCTGACAACCCCGCCTAAGAATGCGACCCCAAAGAAAGACATCATGTTTGTCAAGACTGATGAAGTAGGTCTAAAAGGGAGACTGGTTGCCGATGAAGAAGTGTAGGGTTGGGAAAGAGTCGGTTTATTGTTGGTGGCTCTTGTTGGTCCTTTTATTGGTTAGCACCATAGTGGCAACCAATAGGAGATCTACGTCAACAACGAGTGTGAAAGGGGGTACATTTAGCCGATTATATTACTTATCACATATATTGAGGCAACCCTACATAAGACATAAGGAGGAGGCAGGCTGTGTTGAAATTAGACGCAGGTTATGGGGTATGTATTCATTATATTGTCATACTATGTACCTACTGGAAGGGTGTGGTGCGTACCTAATTACCACCCACCTGATTTTAGCTCTGCCGCCGTCGCGAGCCCGTCTAATTATCTCTGTGGAGGTAGGGCAATAGACGTTAAATATACTACTACCCACCTGATTTATTAGCCCCAGCCCCACATATTTCAGCAGGCTGGATATCAAATGTCTTGGCACACTACCTAATGTAAGCTTCTGCTATCTATATCACCTCCTTCCTCCTTTTATGTATGTACCTACCTACCTAATATTATGCACCACCTAATATTGGTGTGGGGTGACAGCATTGAAGATGAGCCAGTGTCCTGATTTGAATTCATGTTACACAAAGACTTGAAGAGCAGCCTCTTGGCCGTAAGGCTCCGAGGTTCTGTGGCAGTGGAATGAGAGAGGGTAGGTATTAGAGGGTGCCCCGATGCTTTTTCTCCCGCTTGATCGCTCACCTATCGAATTATCTTTGTCACCTCTTGTATGGACTCATAACCACGATAATATAGACTTCGAGAGAATCCATACCCAATATTTAGGTCTAATACATAGAGAGGAGCTCATCTCTCGCCGCTACATTTACGCTCAATATGGATTCAACAACCAACAGCTCTGCAAATCCGGTACTCCAGACTTCACCGCCATTGTTAAAAATTGAAGCATTTCACGTGGGTTCAGCTGGTAAACTTCTGTAGAAGTCAGTGTATACTAATAAACATGTTCATGAAAGGGTATCATCTGGGCCGGGTTTGCATTATGTGTGCTCGCGTTCGCGGGCCGCGTTACAGTCCGAGTCATCTGTTTCCACCGATTCTTCTTAGAAGATTGCCTTATGCTTACTTCCCTATGCTTTCTCCTGGCAACCGCGATACTTGCCCAGTTTCTCCTTCAATTTGTTTACAACATGGAAGCTGTTGGCAATGGGACAATGTTACCACCGCCAACTTTCCTGGACGATACAAGCAGAGCGCTCAGAGGCTTTGCCGCCCTCATGCTACTGAACTACACTGGAATATGGCTTATTAAGTTCAACTTTCTATGGTTTTTTCGTCGACTTGGAAACAACATAGCAAGATATCGCATTAGCTGGTGGTGTGTTCTAATCTTCAACATCGGGGCCGGTGTTACAGCGATCGGCCTCATCGATTTTAAGTGTCTAGTGCCGCCGAGCGAATACATATTTACCAATTGTGAGGGCTACGAGAAGGTTCTCGCCTCCAATACAGCCGCGATCGTATCGTGCTCACTTGATGCCATTTCCGATGCGTTGAGTTTGTCTCCCAGTTTCATTTTTTTTTCTCCTCGCCTCTTCCTTTAATTTTCATAATTACATAATTCCAAGATAAATACTTATAATAGCAGTCATATGCTTTCCAATATCGATTCTTTGGGGTGTGCGTATTGGCCTTCGCAAGAAGATTATACTTTCCGCCATCTTTTCACTTGTTGCTTTCACCATTGCCGTGACAATCGTCCGAGGTAGCATTTTTGGAGGCGTTTATAAATCAGTCCAGAAGGACAACTTGCAGTCAATGAACGTCACGTGGATTTGGTTCTGGTTTAGTATGGAATACATAGTTTGTGAGTAAGCCTTCATAGGAGAGACGTGTGCTAACTGTTTCATGGCATTCTTAATTGCATGTCTCATATCATTCCGTTCACTATTCGTTCAAGACACGGGGACAAATGAAGCCCGGGCCCGGGCCCGAGAGCGTGAGCATAGGGGAGTACTCGGCCCCACGTCGAAGCCTAAAAGTCTACGGGTAAAGGCGCGAATGTTTCATGACTCGGTGCTTGATACATTGATGACACTGGAGGGGCCGACCAGGGTTGGTCAAGAATTGACGGTCTTACCTCAACCTGTTGAGGGGAGGATACCTTTGAACATTCGGGAAGATGAAGGTTGGTCTGATGCAGATAAATCTACACATACACGTCCGGATTCGATTCGAGGTTTACTTTAAAAGGGCAAGGTTTTAAAAATGCCTTAAGTTTACGAAAAGTTTATTATGCCCTGAGTTTACGAAGGGTTTATTGTGTCGACTTTTCTTTCTATGGGAAACTGGTAGGGGGCGATTTGAACCTAGTAATTAGATAGATTTCGAATTGCAATATTTAACTGAGATAGACGAGGTACCATATTGGAATCTATATATTAACAATAGCTTCGCATCCCACGCTCCTTAACTAGTAGTATCAGGTCATTTATCACCGAAGATGGGGTGTTGCGAATCGTACCTGTACGACAGAAGGACATCGTTTGCATATAGAGCGGAATCTGATATATCACATTATTAAGTGGCCTGACACGCGCGTATCCAATCTAAAGGCAAGTATGGCTCGAGGCAAGGATTGAATGTAAACGCCATGGGACAGCTCACCACATACATATTAACGTGAGCGTCAAAATGACAAGTTATTATTCAGCAAACAAATCGGGCTCATTTCCAAATAAGTCGTTACATGGACGGCCAATGAACGGAATGGGGCAGCAGGAGTCGATCCGAACACGAAGTTCCCATATACGTGTCCGATTTAGCTGCATATCGTGATGAAATGGCTGTTTGGACGTGGTGAGTTTCTTTCAATAGAGATAGAAACTAGCAAGAGCAAAAGATCGAAGTCATAAATCCAAATTGTACGATGATGTCAACATGTAGATACATTAGGTCCCTCTAATCTACCAACCTCAAACTATTAACCCCAATCACTCAGTCAAGCCTGATAGCCGTGCTGCAAATGTGTTTACTAAAACTGCATTTACCCAGTGACAACCCGATTTTCTCCAAAATGAGCCCTGCGTATGAAATAACGTCAGGCGATATCAGACCAATGTCATTAGCCATAATCCTATAGGAGGTTGGGAAGTTAGAAATTAAAACTAAAGGGCATTGAAATGTTGCTCGCGTTGATCGCGGAGAATTTCCTCAATAGCTGACAAGTAGGTATTCTTGTCCTCAACTCGACCACCAGTAGACTTCGAAATATCTCGCATCGTCTCAGGTGTATGCATAAATCCGCCATTGTGAATTACAACCGAGTGTGCTTGAATATTCGCGGACTTCAGTTGGTCGCAAGTTGTGAAAAGAGAGCTAGAGCTTGAGCGGTGGGCATTTCCATCTCCAATGAGTACTATAAGCTTTTCGCTGCCAACATCTGCATGAAGGATACTTCTGGCTTGTTCCATGCAATAAGTATAGTCCTCGCTGTCCATGTCGTCGATGGAGTCTAGGATCTGGAATGTCGCATTGGAAATGGTTTGGGTAGGCGAGGGATTCATCTTCACACAACTTCCATGAACTACAACCGCAACTTTGGCATCGCTGTTGTTCGACTTGATAAGAAGTAGGATTTCTCTGTAAGCCTGTTTGACCTCATGCATGACTAAAGCAAGGCTTCCGCTAACGTCGACGCAAATGACTATCGTCTGGGCAAAGGGTGCGGTGGTTTTTTGCAGCTCGTCGAAGCTATAGGATTTCTCCTTGAAGGCATCACTCTGAGCGTCAAGTTCTTTCTCCACGGCTTCTCTCTTCGCAACAGCATCCGCACAAGTACTCCGAAGGGTGTTGAGTTCTCGTTTGAGGTCCTTAACCTCAGTGCCTTTGGAAGTAAGCCGCTGCTGAAGCTCACTTTCGCGCGATCGATGAGATTTTTTCATATTGGAAATAGTAAGATCTGCTTTGCAATACTTTTCTTGTAGATTGTCGTACGAATCGTTGAGTACGTGGATTTTAGCTCGGTCCGCCTCAAGGTCTAGTTCAAGCTGTTGGACCTTGCTGACTTGCTGATCACGAGCATTGACAACCTGAGTGTAGGCTAACTGAGTCATGCCTAGGTCGAATTTCAAATCCTCGAGGCTCTTGAGTGCTTTATTAAGTCTGTATTCCAGATCTGTAATTTTATTCGACATAGCCTCTTCTCGCTGTCCAGCTTCGGTAGTCTGGGATTTGAACTTCTCATCTGCCTCATGTATCTGCCCGTGAAGCCTTTCACATTCAGCTTCGAGTGTTTCCTTGCTAATGCTAAGGCTAGTTATCTTGTCTTGTTGACTAGTAACCTCAGCTTCCAATTTTGTGCACAGCTTTTTTTGGTCGCTGAGCTGTCCCGCGAGATCAATACGTTGCATGTTTAAGGCTTTTTCTCTGCCGCCGGTTCGATTAGGCCGTGTACCGGCCATAGACGGGCCATTTGTTGTTAAAGAAGTGCTCGAGGTCGCTGCTGTATGACTAGGATGTTTGGATTGATCCGACTGAAATTGCACGCCAGTTGCCCTCTGGGCAACTGGCCCCCGTATCGGTAACCTCCGCGATGTCGCTGTAGTAGTTGACATGCTCATGGCCATATTTCCGGATGCCTCTAGTGGCATCGGAGGTACACCGTTGTTTGTCATGGCTGCTCTAACTTGATTTGAAGTGAAAATAACGTGCCTATTAACCGCAGTGTCAAAATGTCGAAAATGACAATGATTTTCTAAGTCGGACGTGATAGTAACGTAGAAACTTAGGTCGATAGGTAAGTATCTTGTTATATATTTCGATATAACTACCTCTACTTTGATGGGAGGATAATAAGTTTCTCTAAGTTCGTCCATTAAGAGACTTTCGGCTATCATCTTGACAGAGCTAGTTCAAACGGATCTAACCCCCCGAAAGCTATGCGATGATTCCATTCAATGATCACACGATTCCAATTCATTCTGTGCAAACAGAGTACGAAAATAAAAACGGGTGCGGAAGTAAAATTGGATGGAAATCGGCACCGTTCCGTATGTGCCTAACCTTAGGTAGATTCCTCGACGAATATGCGGGAACTATTACTGTACCTATCCGTGACGGAAATATGAGGCAAAATATGGAAGCGAGAATTATATAAGTTTCTCATATTGTATTGTGCATTTGGTCTCAGATTGGACGGCCCGATAGAAATATAATAGAATAAACTCGAATAATTATAGATCATTTCTCATGTTTTCGACCTGCATTACCTTGTCAATGTGCAGCCGCCTTGGATACCATCAACAGTCACCTATTAGGCTAGTTTCAGCAACTACAAACAACACCCTAGTCCGATCGCCTCATAGTTTTACGGATGGATGAAGAAGAGGTTGTCTTCCATATGATACAGTTATGAAATATACAATGCCAAACAATCAAAGAACTAAAAACATAATTATGATTCGTAGCCTTGATCTGTCTAGGAACAACTTCGTGATCGAATTCTCTAGCACCTACCTACCTACCAGGCACCCAACGCTCATGGGTACCTATGTGAGAGCCTATTTAATATATCTATATGCCTCTGAATATTCATACATCATAACGACATCTTGTATTCCCATTCTATTCTACCTGTTTAGATCTTGATTTCAGAACATCATGTCTACTACTCCAAAGGAAGAAGACATCAGTCTATTTCTAGCACAGTACCCAAGCTGCTCTAGAGACACCGCGTCGGACTTTCTAGAAGTGAGCTTTTCTAGGTCGACTCCCACAATATTGATCTCGCTAATAACTTATAGGTTTATGGAAATAATCTTGAAGAGGCCATAGAAAAGTATAGAGCATCTGAAGTTTGTATTTCCCCTTTTATTTACAGATCTTTCATTTAACAAGTGTTTAGAAATACCTTCCAACTGTCCCTCCATTTGACGATGATATCTCGCCAAGTAATTCGAGTGATGAACATGACACTCGGGGTGGAACAAATTCACTTGAATTATCACAAGCTGAAGGCGAAGGTATTGATGAAGGTGATTTATGGATGCCCAAGCTGCCAACCCTTCCGGTTCCTGATAGATCTATCGTCAATGACCCCCCTGACCCGCATATCTTTGGGCTCCGCAAACTCCTGGGCGCAATTCGAGCTGGCTATTTCGACGCCGACCGTATCCGTAGATACCTAGGGTATTACGATAAAAATGATTTATACACACATTTGAATGAAACCGTTGACGGGTATCCGGCAATCTTCTATGTCATCTCGACCAACGATATCGGTATACTTCGTGAGTGGCTCAAGCACGGAGGCGATCCTAACGCGACATGGGGGCCTAGTGCTATTCCCGCAATCGGCTTCTCTATTCTTAATGGAGGCCAGACTATGCTTCAGGCCTCGAGGACACTTATAACACTTCTTAGATTTGGTGCAGACCCTCGGGTCATCCCTAAAGCGTTCTATGATCCCTATTGTCGAGATTTGCCGGAGGGAGGGCCAATTCTGGAAGAACTTGAGGATATTAATGACGAAAACAAGGAATGGTGCACGGAAGAGGTGCGGTCATATCTTGCTGAGGTTCTAAGCCTGTCACAGCGATATGATCTCTACAGGTCCAGCAAGGTCATGCCGCACTCTGGTCGAGAGAAAGAAGTGCTTAATCGACAAGGCGCTGGGGAAGTCCTAGGCATTCATCAAATGATCGTCGCTCAGTCGATTGCGACGCGCTGGCTAAAAAGAAAGCTTACCGTGTAAGTTTGAGGTTTCTACACATGGAACTTCTATAGCTAATAGACATAGTTACCTTGCGCTCCAAAAGAGCAAGCCGTTTATTCTGGTCTTCGCAGGACCGAGCGGTCACGGCAAAACGGAACTTGCTAAAAGATTCAGAGACCTCATGTCGCTAGAATCTGAAGAATTTCACGAGGTAAACTGTACCATATTTAAGCAAGACAACGAGCTGTTCGGGCCACGTCCCCCCTATAGTGGACACGAGGACGGCTCAGAATTGAACAATTTCTTAGTTCGCAAGGCTGGGCAGCGATGTATTGTGTTCATGGATGAGTTCGAGAAAACTAGCAAGGAGATCCACAACACGTTATTATTACCTTTCCAAAATGGTTAGTAAACCTAGATATCTGTACTGTTTGCCCTTCGTACACTAACAAGTAAGGAAAGGCCAGTATGAGAATCGTCGAAATGGGAAAAGTATTGACTGCTCCAAGACAATTTGGATTCTCGCCACCAATAAACTGGATGACAGCATTCATGGATTCTGCAACGCCAATGAAAAGACTATTTTCCACTCCGAAGACCAAGATGCTCAGGATAAGGTGGTAGAGAAGTTGTGTCGACAGCTCCGCAAGGAGTTTACCGGGCATTTTGGTGCCCCTTTAAGTGGTCGCATTACCGAAATCATCCCCTTCCTCGTCTTTGCGCCACAAGAGGCTGCTGTCATTGCTCATAGAACATTGATGGATTTGGAGAGCGAAGTTGTTCGACATGTGCGTCTAGCTCTAAACAAGGAAGAAGACGTCTATGTCGGAAATATCAGCATCCGTATCAAGAATGATGCAACAGTATGCTCCGCCATCACCCGTGACGAGTACGACAAGAAGACCGGCGCCCGTAGCATCAATCTAGCTGTGGAGCGCATGGTCCAGGATCCGCTCGTGAGCCAGTACCTGAAAGATGGTGACGAGTTCGACGAGAATCAACCTATTACTTCGTTTATCGTTGATGTCGATGTTGACGGGGAGGTTGAAGTGAGACTGGTTTCATGACGAGGAGAATAGGAGAAGGAAGCTAAAAGGGAGAGTCGCTGAATGGACTATATCTGTCTATCGAGCAGCATTTGAAATATTAGTAGGAGGTTTAAAGTGTTGCCCTGTACGTTCTGTGATAGAGACCTACATAACCAGTTGATCCTCATATTGCCGTCCACATCTAGGGCGATCAGCACCTAAAAGAACTAACCAGAGAGTTATCGGCCCAATTAATCATATTCATTCCAGTTACAATAAGCTACTCTCAATATGGAGTCAATAAAAGCGCTTAAAAGGGTAGTAGAAATTTAACCAATCATTGCCTAGGGGATTCGTACCAACTACGCACCAAGTACGGAATCCCGATTTTATGCAATCCCATAACAGTGATTAGAAAAGAATGAATAGGTACCGGACTCCGTAAAGTCAAATGCCGCCCCGGGTGATCCGGTATCCACCCCCAATGTCTCGGTAATATACTTGGTGATAAGAATGAGATTCGGGACACCAAGCTCTTAACAGAAGTAGAGCAAAGCAACAAACCGCAACAGAGTATAGACAAGAGTATAAGACGAATAAATTATTCACTTTAACTCACAACTAAAAGATCATTTATTTATGAAACCAAGTCCTAAACTTACACCAACCTTGAAGAACTTCAAAACCAGTTATCTTATCATGTAAGCTGAAGCTCGAGCCCAAAGATAAGCTAGATGCCCAGCTGAGAGATCTCAGTGGTTATTCAGCAAGGGTGGTGCAAACGTCAGGGGAGATGACGTGCGAGAACATCAACAGGGCTGAGTGGCACACAGTGAAACAACAGGATGGCGCAACCTCTGGATTTAGTGATCAAGAGACACTTTTGTCAGCAGCTCAGGCAATCAATCAGATGGCGTCCGAGGTGCGATTTCCAGCCCGTCGGAAAACCTAATAATAATGGACTTGCATCCTTCATATTCGAGAAACTCAATACCCGAACCTAAACAGCTCGGACAACAACTTCTACACGATCGCGAATAGAATAAATGACACGAGGAACTATGAGCTAGAATTACGCGTCTGTGCGAACTGTTTTCCCACGAGCCTTGCTAGAAAATGTCTACGTCCCACGGCGAAGATAGCCCCTTGTTGGGTGCAGATACGGCCTCGATACGTTCGTCTTCGATCCTCAAGCCCCCGACGGATGACGAAGACGGGCCTTCTTCGCCACCCGAGTTCGGAAATCTCGAAGACGATGTCTTACCCGAGGAGTCCGTTCTAGGCCGGAACATCGACTGGAAAAGCGCTTATATCATCGCTATTTCAAGAGTTATCGGAAGCGGCATCTTTGCGGTTCCGGGAGTTATTCTGTCCTCCGTCGGAAGTGTGGGTCTTTCGCTTTCGATTTGGATCCTTGGCGCCGTCGTCGTAGCATGCGGTCTAACAGTATCTCTTGAATATGGTTGCATGCTGCCGCGGTCTGGTGGAGACAAGGTATACCTCGAGTTCACATATCCGTGGCCACGCTTCTTTGCCTCGACCATGGTCGCGGTTCAAGCTGTGCTTCTAGGTTTCACGGCAAGTAACTGCGTCATCTTCAGCCAATATGTGCATTTCGTATTCGACGTCGAGGCTCGAGACTTTTCTAGGAAGGCCCTGGCGGTTGGACTCCTTACTGTCATCACGATTATTCACGGTGTCTGGTACAGAGCTGGCATACGCATCCAAAACTTCCTAGGCTGGATCAAGGTGGGACTTGTTGTATTCATGGTGCTATCGGCTCTTTACGTCGTGGTATTTAGGCCCGAACAGGAAGATGCAAATTTAAGGCCCAAGAAGATACAATCTTGGGAAGGACTATGGGAGGGGAGTGACTGGAATCTTGGGACCCTTGCGACTTCATTATTCAAGGTCTTCTATTCTTATGCTGGTCTATCCAACCTGAATAACGTTATGAACGAAGTGAAAGATCCGTAAGTACTTGCCTCTCCTTCCTCCCGCCAGGCTTGCGGTTCGAATTTCCTATTCGAGTTGACCGGGGTTTACTATTCCTAAGCCATGCCTACCTATGGGTCTCAACTCTCGGACTGTTTACTAATCAAGCAAATGGCTGACTATCGTTGATACAGTGTTAGAACCTTGAAGTCGGTTTCTCTGACAGCTTTGGTTACTGCGTGCCTCTTGTACTTGCTTGCCAACCTCGCTTATTTCGCCGTGGTGCCCATCGAGGATATCAAAGAGAGCGGTCAACTAGTTGCAGCATTATTCTTTGAACGTACATTTGGCCCCAACATCGGCAAGAGGTTTCTACCCCTAGCCGTTGCGCTCTCAGCGGCAGGAAATGTGATGGTAGTGACGTTTTCGACGGTAGGTTTATGCCTCCAAGCCCTTTGTGAGATCACCAGTGTAAGGCCCGAATTCTGACCAACTGTAGGCGCGTCTGAATCAGGAGGTTGCTCGTGCGGGCTTTTTGCCTTTTTCTAGATATCTTTCGTCTTCGAAGCCCTTTAACGCGCCATTGGGTGGATTAATTGTACACTGGATCCCTTCTGTTCTCGTCATCATACTACCGCCGTCGAGCGAAGTGTACTCGTTCATATTAGAAGTTGAGGGTTACCCGGGACAAGTATTTGCACTTGCAACATCAATAGGACTTATTTGGCTACGATATAAGCGACCGGATTTGAAACGGCCGTTCAAAGCCTGGATCCCGGCGGTCATCTTTAGGATCGTCCTATGTTTTTCTTTACTAGCTGCCCCCTTTTTCCCTCCGTCGCATCCGAAACCCGGCGGTCTATTTTATGCGACATATGCCATTGTTGGCGTCGGCATGTGAGTTACAGCGTTCCCAACATAAAGAACCAATAATAGTGTCTTTAAGATTTTAACCGCATATGCTTACAAATTCGTAGACTTGTGTTCGGAGTCCTATACTGGCTTATATGGACAGTTATATTACCCCGACTCGGCGGGTATAGGTTGGAAGAGAAGCAAGACGTGCTAGATGATGGGACGACTATCACTGTACTAACACGGGTACCGAATGATGTTGACTAATTGTTTAAATATTTGGTACATTTCATGACTCTGCTTACTGCGTGTCTACTGATGTTGAGTAATGACTCGGGGACCTTTTTTTTTATTTTTTTAAAATTCGGCTATAGTAGGTATCGAGTCGTGGTTGTGTAATTTAGCTTCATGTTATATTGAGTTGCAGCTAGACGGAAATCATAGATGTCAGTGAAAACAAAGGCTATAAACTAGTAATACGGAGCAAGTAAACGTACTTGGTTAGAAATCGAGATATGACAAATACAACTTGAAATTAGTATTTCTAATCAGTGCCACGCCACTGGAGTCTAGATGCAGGATGTAGGCAATCATCTTATACTCTGGGCGCATGACGTCCTGTCACAGAGCTCCCCCTACTGTCGCAATCTTGCGTGATTGCGGGGAGCTACTATTCCTTTACCGCAAGTGGACGTGCACTACAGTACCGATAGCCATCGATGAGGTAGCAGCCGATTATCCCAGTATTTCCTGATTAAGAAATTCATCTTTCGATAAAGAAGTATATAAGGAATAAGACTTGCCTCTCCATCCATTGCCACATCAGACACAAGTATACAAGCACTACTACGCCTTTAACAAGTATATAGAACACACAATGGCCTCCCCAGACGTCCAACTCCCCAGCTCTGTCCCGGCTTTCTCAGCCGCGAGCAGTGTATCGGCCGCACCCACAGCTCCAGCACCGCGTCATGTCGACACCGTGCTAAACTACCACAAGGACGCGGAGGACGGCTCACCACCGGCCCCTAGCTACGTAGACCGTCCCGAGACCCAGAACCGACCGTTCGAGTCTTACCCAGTCCACATTACGGATGTGTCAGGCCGGGAAGACGAGTTTACCCTCGACAAGAACGGTTTCCAGTTCCATCGCCATGTTGCGCAGGAGAAGGACTTCCTAGACGATGACCATATCAAGGCGGTTTACTATCCCGAGACCGAGCAGCTGCTGAAGGATGTGTAAGTAGATAAAGGGGGAAACATGTCAAACACAACAATCATCGGCTAACCCCCCATCCAGAACCGGCGCATCCAAGATCTTCATCTTCGACCACACCATCCGGCGCAACCCAGCCGACCAGCGCGGCACAGACGGCGGCCCTTCCCGCCGCGGCCCCGTAAACCGCGTCCACATCGACCAGACGTACTCGGCGGCACTATCCCGCGTGCCGCACCACCTCCCCGCCGAAGAAGCATCCGAGCTCCTCAAAGGACGCGTGCAAATCATCAACGTCTGGCGGCCGATCAAGACCGTCCTCCGGGACCCCCTAACCATCGCGGAAGCCAATTCGGTCGGAGAGGAGGAACTCGTGCCCATCCCACTCATCTACCCGAACCGCAAGGGCGAGACGTTCGCGGTTCGATACGCCGAGGGCCACAAATGGTACTACAAGTACGGCCTCACGCCCGAGGAGGTCCTGTTCATCAAGTGCTTCGACTCGAAGACGGACGGACGTGCTCGCCGCGTCCCGCACACGGCTTTCGTGGACCCGACGATTGGGCCTGATGTACCCAAGCGCGAGAGCATTGAGGTTCGCGCGCTGGTGTTCCATCCTGATGACAGGGATTAAATATGTAAAGGGGAAAGGCTTAGTTAGATACTATCGATGAGATGAAACAGACGTCTCGAGGTGTAAGAAGATGAAGACGCGGTGTGTATAGGATACGGGTAGATTGTCATATTAAAGCAACTTTGCAGGAATACGTTGTTAGAAATACAATAAGAATAACTATATCCATCTTTAAAAGTGTTACATCCATAGGGAAGTATGAGCTCTTTCTAAGACTGCTTATCTTGGTGTAAGTGCACCAATATTATTATTTTAGAAGACTGACCTAAGACGATAAGTGGAACATATAGGAATAACACTCATTTCATGGAGTGAGTTGTGTTATGACACTGCTTTCTCTGATGTAAAATTTTAAACAATAGAGATATCACTACTAGGAGAACCTCTGAGCGATACAAGTATAATGTACACATATCAAATTCAAACCGTATCTCATCCAAGATATCTCAAACGCCTCCCGTATGCAAACCGCCTATGCACCCTCTCCGCTAAGCCCCTAACCCCTATTCGCCATCCACCATCTCATCACGCACCTAAATCCAGCCCCTCAAGCCCGAAATCCAACCCTCTAAACCCCTCTTCAACGCTCCACGCGCGGCCCTTCTCAAGCTTATTCAAGAACTCGCACGCGCGCCCGACGACAAGTAGCCCCGGGGGCCTACTACCCTCCTGCTCGACAGCCTCGACGACGCGGTCGAGCGTAGTCCGGATGACGCGTTGGTCCGGGCAACTAGCGCGCTCGACTACGGCGCAGGGTGTGTTTCGCGGCCATAGCGCGCGCCGGGGAGCTTCATCAGCAGTTGTGTTTTTCTCCGTTTCCAAGTGCCCCGTTAATTCCTCTACAAGCCCCGCGATGCGATGCAGCGCCATGAGGAACACTACCGTCCTACTCGGTACATACTCCGGCGGTGTCGGTGCCTTGCCCTTTTTGCCCGTCCCCGTGCACACTAATACCTGGTCCGCAACGTCGCGCTGCGTGGGTGGAATTCCTGCGAACAAGGGTGCGGACAGCGCTGATGTAACCCCTGGTAAGACTACAACCTTGTCTCCTAGCCCCTGACTCCGGAAGTGCTCGACTTCCTCGCCGCCACGCCCGTAGATATACGGATCGCCCTGCTTGAGGCGTAGGACCGTCTTACCCTCTCGCGCGCCCGCCATGGCCATTTCCTCCAATTCGGCCTGCGCCGCGTCCGCGTTACCCGGGAACTTGCGTGCGATGTGCACGGGGGTGCGGCGCGGAATCAAGTCTAGTACCCCGGCCGGCACTAGCTTGTCCGCTAGCACTAGATCCGCGCTTTGGATGGCCTTGTGTGTTGCCCGCGTGAGCAGGTCCGGGTGGCCGGGACCGGACCCGGCGAGAATAATGCGCCCGCGGTTGCCGGCGTTGTTGGCGGGGGAAGATTTACCAATCGGATTAGAAGAGCCAAGGTCGTCGTAGGATTTCAAGATGTTGGCCACGTCCTCATCCGTAATAGCAGCAAGCCGTTTCAGCGGCCAATACTCGCAGATTTGGCTAAGCCAACGCATGCGCCTGTTCTTCACTGCGTCTAAGTCTGCCTCTGTAACGAGCTTGTTGAAACTAGCTGATTGGTCGATCGAGTCGTCAACATCGTCTCCGTCTGCTAGAGCCATGTGTAACAAGTGATCCTCCTCTTGTATCTTCCTACGCACGTCGCCTAGTCGCGAACAGGCAGATCCAAGGTTCGGGGGTAGCGAAGCTGCAACTTCGCGGCGTATCCTAGACGCCAATTTGCACCCGCGACCATTTGTTGTTATACCGATTTGTAGCGGACCGTCGATGTGCGTGGATAGGAGGGAGAAGGAGCATAATTGCGGCGCATCGACAACGTTCACGGGAATGCGGTTATACTTGCAAAGTGACGATATATGTGCACCTATTTTAAATCAGTAAGGATTTATAATATGGTAGTTTCGGCAACAAGTCGTACTTAGAGGGTCTCGAGGTCCTGAAGTCACAAAAACAGCGTCCACAACACGACCTATTTCCTCTCTTCCCAAAGTGAATAGATGCTCATCCTCGAATTTGTTTTTTACCCATTTCACTTCACCATCGTCCACGCGCTTCTGCAGCGCATAGTACAGTTCTGCTGTCTCCGGCGCAATGAGGATTGGCGATGCGCCGGCACTTAACGACTGTCCACACCGCGCTGCCGCAAGAGGGTTCGAACCGACGATTAGATGGACATGTGATCGGGCGTCCGTCGCCGTCAGGAGAGAGATATAACTATTCATCGTCGGTTGGCGCCCCTTCTTATAAGCGCTTGAAGACGAATTCTTGATAACTTAAGCAACCATGCAAATATATAAAGGAAAAGAAAGAGGAGATCACGGAGGGAATAAGATATAATTAGTCATTGTAAGTATTTCCCTAAAAGAACCCTAATATAAATATCTATAATTCTATAATTCTTAGCTAAGAAGTTATCCGCGACTAGAGGCGATGTCGCCATGAGCGCCGCGGCGGAATTCTTTGAAAGGTCTGGACCGATTTCCGGCATTTTGGCAACTCTCAAGAAAATTTCAGCGGGACCCACGGGGTTTTGGAGGGGCATTTCTCTGACGCAATCGCACTTGATAATGTCATCGGGCCAATCATTGATAAGCAATTAACCTTAGTTTAGTCGCTGCATACCGAGTTCCGCGGACCCTGAGCGGAAATCTGTAAGTCGACGAAATATCCTAAATAACATCTTGTAAGTGAATCCTTCTATTCGGAAATGGGACTTTCAACTAATAATTCGTATCATATTCTCAATTCCCACTCTCAACGTCCACAGTACGTATGAATATAGGCCTATACAGTTCTTAAGTGGAGGTAGTTCGTTCATAGTTCATACATATCTGTTTTAGCATTTACCTAACTATACGTAGTAATACATCCTCTGAGGAGATTTTGTACAAATTTAACGGTAAGCATTCATCCACCTTGCTTACTGGAAGCCTTCCTCTTCTAACTCCTTGAGCAAATTCTCCAGCTTTGCCTTCTTTCCTCCCTTGGTCCTCCTGGCGGAAGGCCCATGTACTTTAACTTTCTCATAGGCGCTGTAGATACCTCTCGAGTCGGCATTGAGATGGATAACCTTTGGCTTGTGGCCCTGTGTGTTATCACGAGACCGTACACCACCATCATTACCCACCGCACCCGCTCGTCCGAGTCGAACATTACGGTCTACTCTAGTCTTAGCACCCAAAGCCCATAGATCTCCCCACTTTGTCTTGCGTGCGTCGTGATACGCCTGCTTGCTGAAGCTCTTGGGAACCGTCCATCTCTCGATCTTTCCGGTAGGGGTGCATAGATCAAGCGTAACGTGCCCACGTCGCTTCAGAGGAGGGAGGATGTTTCTAGGTAATGACAATGCGTTTGGTACTTCTGTAGCGTTCTCATAGCCCTTAAATGCGCGATCAGTCAAGTTGCCGCTCTGTTTGGGTACGGTGACTGGCTTCATGTCGGGTAAAGTGCCGCGTTGAATAGCGACAAAGCTAAAGTCTATGTCTGTGTGGTTACGGTGCGAGGCACCAAGCACTTTTTGCAGGAATGGTGGGCGAATAAACCTCTGGCTGAAATGGCAAAAGTCTTTCCGCCCACTGCTGAGTCCAGGTGTCAGATACATGGGACACTCCTTGTGGTTAGTACAAGGGGCAATAATCATGCCTGGCTCACGGACCCTTCGCTGCTCAATCTCGATTTCGTTAGGTCGAGGATCCGAAGTAGGTGAAACAATGAATTCATTTAATAACCGAGAACGAACATCCGCGACAGCTTCAAAACCCCGCGGGTGACCTTTCTCCATGACGATGAGAATTCCACCATCGGGCGACAACATTTCCCACAGGTTGTCTAACAGAGCTTTGCGTTGAAATCCTTCTTTCAATGGCAATAGTAGATGGGAGGCGATAATAATGTCAAATGACTTCTTCTGCTGCGGCTTGTCACCAGCGTCTAGCATATCTGGGTTGTTGGCAGAGTGTATATAATCTGGCAGGCGTGGGAGGAACGTGGTGTCATCAAGAAACCGCGATATCCGTTGGCGCAGCTGAGTAGATCCAACCACAACCGTCTTTTTTCCTGGCGGTCCGTGGTTAGGCTTCTTACCCCCTTCAATCATGAGATCCCATTCTGCTTGAAGGACTTGCTGCCAGGCCGCTAATCCCGCACCGCCCGCACCGACATCAAGCACACGAGGGCCCTCGCCATTGCCCCTAGAGATGAGTTTGGAGATCCACTCCGAGCCTAGGCGTTTCCTGATTTCAACTAGGATCCCCATCGTAGACGCGTACATTCCTGGAAGGTTGATAGCAATATAGGCGTCTGCTTCGATCTCACTCATCTTGTGCTGACCTGCTGCCATGGCTACAGGTTTCTGCTCGGGACTTTTCCTCACTGCGGGAGTTGCAACCGAGTTTGGAAACCCAGCGCCACCAAAAGCTTTCTCTGCTGCTTCTTTAATATGCTTAGGATCTGTTCGGTCGAGCAATATGTTAATTGGGTTGACAAATTCCGCTTTCGGTAACTGGATGGTCGAGGGTTGGGTTCTCCATTGGCCCATTCTCGTATACTGGTGAATGCGACTATCCTGGGTTCGGAACCTTGCATCTGGCTCGCCTTCGTCTTCGTCTTCTTCTTCTTCTTCCTCATCTTCCTCCTCAGGCTCTTCATCAATTTCCTCTTCTTCAACTGCTCGCAGCTGGGTGTTCTCGAAGTCTTTTTGCAGTCTCAATAGGGCGTCGTATTCTCTCTGGCTTTTAGCCACGGCGCCAATATGACTTAACCCAGCTTCAGATGGTAATTCTTCTGAACTTTCCATGTTCGCTGAAAAGAGATTTTGGGTATCATCGAAGTCTTTGGGGGTAGATATAGCAATATCAGTCTCGTAGACGAGTTCCTCCAGCTTCCCGTCTTCTCCTTCTCGCAGTAGTATTCTCTTCGATAGATCGTGGGGTGCATCTTCAGGGACGAAGTCAGATGTTGGCATGCCTACATCTTCTGGCCGAGTCTCTCGCAAAGGCGCGCCGTACAGTCGCTCGTATAACTTATATTCTTCTTCATTTAAATAACCCCTTGGTAAAGTGTCACCAAATGCGTGTTTCGCTTGTCGTACCGCAACTTCGATGTCGTTAGAATTTGATTGGCTTTCTGTTGGCTGCGGATTTTGAAGTTTGCGCTTCGTCGTCGAGAAGAGACGCACATTCGACTTTCGACTTGACGGCAAACTTCTAATATGAGGATAAGTCGACCGGGGTAAGGTTCGCGGGGCTTCAGATCGTAGGCCAGCAAAGCCGTTCTCAAAAAGATTGAGAAGTCGGAGCCTGCACTGAGGACATGAGCCCTGAGCTTTTGCTGCGGAAAGCATTGCGCCTGTTCTTCTTGAACCTTAAGCTGAAAAGTGAAGAAGAAAGAAAAAATGTGTAAATGATGGCAAAGATTCGCGAACAACTTTTTCATATGTTAAGGAAATTTTAGACTAGCTCGTGTACCCTGAAAAGTCCCATCCACTTAAAAGACGGGCATTAGAATACCACCCCGCAGTAGACCCATAACCCGCATGATATAGCAAGGTCTAGCGCAGCTCATAGATCTACATAAACGTTCCTGCCATGCAGCTATGGCAAAGACATTCAACAATCCGATAAAGCAAATGCACTAACTGGAACCGATAAACTAACAAAGCATAGGGTAAGGGAAAGGTACTGTAACGGGACAATTTCATTCACATAAGAGGTTGTTCTAGCTAAGTTTCTATGTGTACAAGCGGGGTTCAGTTATACTGGGTAATACTGGGTTTAATCCCGGTAGTTCTTTCTACCGCCCCACAGTACCTCTATTCTCTATTCTTGACTAAAAGATGCAATTCTCCTAGAACTCAATTAGGCTACCACGTTTACTTACTAAGATCGGCCAGTGTCCTAACCCCCCCACTAGGCCGAGCAGAACCGCCTTGTCCTCCAACTTTCTGCCCCTTAATACCGACCGGCGCCGGCGGTGCCCTCGGATTATTGAGATTGAATTGTGACCTTTCAGCCGCTTTATAGGGATCAAACTAGTTGGTATTGTTAACACCATGTTAAGTATTTTACTAGACGCGAAACATGGGTGGCTAAAAAGGTGTGACTTACCGAGAAGAGTGATACGAAGTAAAGTCCGAAGAATGTGAGAATAGCGTTGATGATATTGAAAGGACTAAATTTCCACGGCTGACCTCCTAGCGACTGACCACCTCGCCTCGCTGGTGTGCTAGAATAAGACGAGCTGCCTCCCAGTGTTCTTCCGGGTGAAGTGAAAGATGCGCCCGGTACAGTCACGGTGGCCAACTTGACAGCCTTCTCGACGGCGGAAGTCAGGGCTGGAGGGTTCGCGCCCTGGATCGTTTCGATAACGGAACCGTTCTTGAAGATGAGGAAGGTCGGCATCGCGCGCACTCCATGGCTCTGGGCGATGGATTGTTGGCTATCGACGTTGACTTTGCAGAAGGTGATCTTGCCAGGCTTGGAATATTTCGTCGCTAGCGATTCGAAGGTAGGCGCGATGACTTTGCAAGGACCGCACCAGTCGGCGTAGACTACATGATCATTTGTAAGCGGCCGAGCGGGATCGCAAACGATGCGACGGGTAAGAACTTACAGTCTGTGACCACGATGGTCGAAGACCCTAATATGCGCTGCCACTCACTCGAAGAGCTAATATTTACGGTCATTTTGGCTATCTCGTTTGGTGATGTGTATTTGTGTTGTTAACAAGACTGAACGAAGTTGCTGGAATCGTTGATGGATGGATGGATGGATGGATTGTAAGTGGATCTTTTTGGCTAATGACGGAAAGCCGAGATAAAGCTGTCCAGATCTACAATCTAGGTACCTAGGTACCATCCAACGCCACATTTATGTAGTAAGGCATCTATAGATGTTACACAACGTTTGTTATAAGGTTGTTAGTTCCCTATTTCGTGATATGACTTTGTATTTACCAACATGAGGGCACCCCTGCGGGGCACCACAATAGCCCGAGTTTACGAATCACGTGCCGCTGCTGCCGGGGAAAGGCGCGCGGCGCGCGAAGCGCGCCGAGCGCCGTTCCCCGGCAGCAGCGGCGGACAACCTCGAACATTAAGCTCTACTAGAATTCTTTTAAAAGATTTTTTAAAAAAAAAA